TCCTTATTGTTCTTACTGTAAAAACCTTTTCTTTGCCTTAGATGAAATCTCCTTTCTTCCAGCCTAAATGTGTGACCTTGTGTCCTATGTATAGCCCTGTTTATGAATAGATTTCCAGACAATGGTTTGTACTGGCCCCGAATATATTTGTATAAAGTTATCATATCCCCTCTCAGGCGCCGTTTTTCCAAACTAAAGAGATTTACATGTTTTAACCTTTCTTCGTAACTAAAATGCTCCATTCCTTTAATCAATTTTGTAGCTCGTCTCTGCACTTTTTCTAGTGCCATGATATCTTTCTTTAGAACAGGTGCCCAAAATTGCACAGCATATTCAAGGTGTGGTCTTACCAGTGATTTATAAAGAGGCAAAATTATATTTTCATCTCGAGAATTTATGCCCCTATTTATACATGACAAAACCTTACTGGCCTTAGCAACGGCAGATTGACATTGCATATTGCTGCCTAATTTGTTTAGGAGTAAAAAAATGTCATGACCTCCTTGCACCATAACAACTTTGTTGTGATGAAGTTATGTGCCAGGAGTGTCCCTTTATCTTCACTTTTATGCTAAACCTTTTAAAAGTGTTCACACATGGAGAGAGGAACTTGTTTGTGATCTCTCCTATTAATCTCTATGCATGTTTAGGAAATATGCGGACTGTTCCAGGAAGGTTTTAAAATTCTCCTTCCTTAGTGCCAGTGGCAAACCTTTAAACTGGCTGTGCCCACTCTATTGTTTAACCCTGTGCGGATTTCCTAGTAGTCACTGTCACAGTGATTGCCTGGTGAGTGGGAGGCAAGTAACAAATAGCTGCCTACTTATTTGGAGTTAACCCCACTCCTTAAAGCTGCAGATAGCGGTCACGATTACAAAATAATGCTGCTTTAAAAAGAGCACCTAGGGTTACTGCCGGTCGGAAATTTTGACATTCTTTATTTGTATGTAGTAAGGTTACAAGACAGGTCAAATCATATCAAAAGACACGGTATAACAGGTTTTGTAAGGCCCCTAAACCTTATGGCCAACAATATTTGTAGGGTTTTATTCCTAGGTTTCCCCCTCTCTCCCTCCCCGCCGTATTAGCTCCCTTCCCCCCACCAACCCCCCCCATCCCCACCAGTCTTGATCCGGCCTCATTTCTCCGTTTCTTAGGCCTAGTGATCTTAGTAGACTTATGTTGGACCTGCCTTTTAGAGGGGAACACCATTCCCCGACCAACCCCGAGCTTATTTGCCTTATAGAGTGGGGTCCGCCGGGACCGCTGTGGTTTGCCTTTCGACCGGCGTTTAGCAAGTGTTCCACCATGTGCGTGGGCATACATTGTAGTTGGCGAGGTGCAGGACCTTGTTTGGCTTGGTGGGAGTAAAGCTCCTCTGGCTCGCGCAGGGGGTGGTGGTCCCCTTGGGTCCAGATGCGGTCCCCGCGAGCCCCCCCTCGGTGGAATTCTGTGTCGTTCGGGTGTAATGCCCGAGGTCCGGCACCCCCCCCCTCCGATGAGTTGTTAATTTAACCGTGGCCGGGCTGTCTCCGGCCTGCCTGCTATCTGTGGCTGTCATGTGTTAACTCCAGTCAAGGTCCCCTTTCCTCCCCTGTCGGTCACCTTTGCTTCGTCATTGAGGCATGTGGAGAAAGAGAGAGAAAGAGTTAGAGAGAGTGAGAGAAAAAGAGGAAGAAGAGAGGAGGGAGAAAAAAAAAAAAAGGAAGAAGGAGGGGGGGGAAGGGAGGGGGTCCCGCGCGGCCGCAATCCAGCCTCCTCCCACGCTACTCCGCCTCCTCATCTGGCCTCAGACGGTCCGCCCTCGGCCGCCCCCACCTCCGGTCCGAGCTGTAGGAGATCCACGGTGTCCACAGGCGAGTGCAGCGGTCTTGCGTGCCCCTGAGTTCTGCCGTAAGAATTTCCATGTTATAAAGTTCATCGACTTTTTCTATCCACTGAGTAATGTTTGGGACAACTGGCGATTTCCATCTGGCGGGGATGAGGCTTTTGGCTGCGTTGAGAAAGTGTCTGATAAGGGTTTTCTTGTAACGCCCCAGAGGTATCTGAGTGTGGTTTAAAAGCATAGGGAGGGGCTCCATGGGGATGTCCTCCCCCAGGATGTCCACCACTTTGTCATGGATCTGTTGCCAGAAGGGGGCTATCCGAGGGCAAGACCACCACAGGTGTAATGCCGTCCCTTCGGCGATGTCACATCTCCAACACTTGTTGTCGGGGGTGGCCCCCATGGCATGGAGTCGTGCGGGGGTCCGGTACCAGTGCGTCAATAGTTTATAATTAAGTTCCTGCATTTTAGAACTAAGTATCCCCTGGTGGGACAGGACGTGTATTTGCTCCCATTGTGGTTCCGTTAAGGTGACACCTGTGGCTTGTTCCCACCTTGAGTGGAAGTGTGCCGGGGGACCCGCATCGGCACCCAGGAGCATGGCATATAGGGTCGATATCCCGCGTGTCGGGTGCGATCCCCCTTCACATAGCGTTTCAAAGTGTGTGAGGTCTCGGTGGATCAGGTGTTTCCCCTGAAGTGTGGCATAGTACCGGCGTATCTGATGGTACCTAAATCGTAAGATCCCTGTCTCCCTACTCTGGCCCAGCATGTCTTCCAGCGGCCTTAGGGCTTTATTAGCACACCATGCCCGAAGGTATTGTTTCGTCCCCTCCCCCAGTCCCTCCATATCCCCCTGTGTCAGGCCTCCCGCCAGGTCTGGGTTGTGTATCACAGGTGTCAGGGGGGCCGGGTTCGTGGTGAGCTGCAGCTTGAATCGGATGGTTGTCCATGTTCTCAGTGTCGCGCCTATGAATGGGTGGTTCCGCAGGAAACCATCGCATGTCGGGTTTTGTATCCATACCATCGATGGAATACGCCCCCTGGCCTGAAGCCGCTCCATATGGACCCATTGTTTGTCCGAGTCCAGGACATGCCATTCTATAATTCGTAAGAGGTGTGTCGCCTGGTAGTAACCGAGTAGGGACGGTAGGGCTGTTCCACCCCGATGTCTCGGGAGTATCAGTTGTGTCTTTCTTACCCTCGGCGGTCCCTTCGCCCAGACGAATCGCAGTATAGCCGAGCCCAAGGTGTTGAAGTATGTTCGCGGGATCGTGATCGGAATGGCCTGGAAAAGATACAGCAAGCGTGGCAACAGATTCATCTTTATTGTGTTGATCCTACCAAACCACGACACGCATAGGCGTCCCCATCTGAGCAAGTCCGCACGGAGCGTTTGGAGAATAGGGAGAAAGTTTTCTTGATAGAGTTTCGTCAGGTCTCTAGTTAACCAGATCCCGAGATATTTTATGCGCTGGTGGCACCATTTAAAGGGGAACTCTCCTGTCAGCCGTTCGACCAACTCGGGGGGTATAGAGATGGGGAGGGCCTCTGACTTGTCCGCGTTCAATTTGAAGTTAGAGATCCGTCCGAACCGCTCAAAGGCCGCCAACAGGTTGGGCAAGGTGATCAAGGGGTTGCTCACGAAGAAAAGGAGGTCGTCCGCGTAGGCCGCCACCTTGTGCGTGCCGTCCCCCAGGGTGACCCCCGCAATGCCCCCATCCCGTCTGACCGCCTCAAGAAATGGCTCCAGAGAGAGGGCAAACAGGAGGGGGGAAAGCGGACATCCCTGGCGCGTCCCGTTACGTATCCGAATCGGTGTGGACAGGACCCCATTAATGCGTAGTTGAGCAGTCGGTTCCGCATATAGCGCGGAGATCCACTGCAGTATATTCGGTCCGAACCCCATTGCCTTGAGCGTTTCAAGGAGGTATCGCCAGTCCACCCGGTCGAAGGCCTTCTCCGCGTCAGTGGAGAGGAGCAGGCCCCCGACCGGCGAGCTCCGTTGCATGTGCATGATGTTTAGCGCTCTGATTGTATTATCTTTGGCTTCTCGACCGGGTATGAATCCGGTCTGGTCCGGGTGGATCAAGGATGGGACTATGCGGCCCACGCGCGCCGCCAGGACCTTCGTAAACAGCTTGAGGTCTGCGTTTAGTAGAGAAATGGGTCTGTAGCTCGCACAGGCCGCTGGGTCTCTACCCTCTTTCGGGATAACCGCGATCGTTGCCAGTAGGGTGTCCCCCGGTAGGCGTGCCCCCTCAAGGAGAGAGTTCATGCCCGCCAGCAATTCTGGTAGGAGGACATCCCCAAAGGCCTTGAGGTATCTGGCGGGGAGGCCGTCCGGTCCCGGGGCTTTAAGTTGTGTGTTCTTCAGGGCTGCCGTCAGTTCCTCGATCGTAATGGGGGCATCAAGGTCTTCCCTTTGTTCTTGCGTGAGAGTCCGGTGTACGTGGTTTTCCAGGTACTCCCTCGTCAGTCTCGCCGTCCTTTCCCGGCCCGCGCTTGTCTCATCTTTCTGGATATCGTATAGGCCGGTGTAGAAGTTCCGGAATTCCTCGACTATTTTGTCCGGTACCTGCGTGAGGGCGCCGCTCTTTGTCCGCAGCTTAGTGATCTGGTTCACGCGGCGTTGTTGTCTCAGCATTCTGGCTAGCATACGACCGCATTTGTTGGAGTGTTCATAGTAATAGCGATGGGCTTTTTTCATCGTATAGGCGAGGTTTTTCGTGAGCAGATGTTGTAGGTCTCGGCGGGCCTCTCGGAGCGCATGGTACGCCTCTTCTGTCGGTGCGGCTTTGTGGTCTTGTTCTAAGCTGGCGACTTTCGTATATAGCTCTTGTAGCTGCCTACTGTGTTCTTTCTTCCGCGTTGTACATACCTTGATGAAATGTCCCCGAATGACGCACTTATGGGCCTCCCACCGAATCATTGGGGAGGTGTCAGACGGATCATTCTCATTGAAGTAATGACGGAGCGCTGTCGTAGCGTCCGCTATGGTGACCGGGTCGCTAAGTAGTTGTTCATTCAGTTTCCATTGGCGTCTTGTGGGTTTATGCAGAGGCGAGGTCAGCTGGGCCAGTACCGGTGAGTGGTCCGACCAAGCGTCCAGTAGGATTTCACATTTTTGTAATAGATTCAGGTATTCTTGTGCAATAAAGACATAGTCTAAGCGGCTGTAGCCGCGGTGCACCGGGGAGAAGTATGTGAAATCCTTGGCCTCTGGGTGCATGACTCTCCAGCAATCCGCAAGGCCCGCCGTTCTGAGTGCCAATTGTGCCGCTTTGATGCTTGCGTCCGGCAGCGAGCAGCGTCCCCGGGAGGTGTCCGTCCGCGGATCCAATGGTATGTTGAGGTCCCCGGTTAGAATTAGGAGCCCCTCCCTGAAGTGTTCCAGCGATTTTAGGGTTCTGGTGAGAAAACTGTGTTGTCGGGTGTTGGGCGCATATATGGAGGCAAAGGTGTAGCGCCTGTCTGCAATGGAGCCCTTGAGGAAGATGTAGCGTCCCAGTGGGTCGGCCTTGACCTCCGCACACACAAAGGGGACATGCGCGGCGAAGAGAATGGCCACTCCTGCCTTCTTGGCTTCCCTATGGTTAGCAAAATATCCAGTGGGGAACCGTCGGTCTCGGAGGGCCGGTCCCGTCTGTCCGCGGAAGTGTGTCTCCTGGATGAAGGCCACAGAGATTCTATTGGACCAAAGTGCCCGTAGTAAATGTGATCTCCGTTCTGGCAGGTTCAGGCCCCGGACGTTGTTGGACCAGATGCGCAGAGGCGCCGGGGCGAACCCCTCTCAGCCCCGGGAGGTCATGAGAGCTGGTGCCGCCGCGCAGGGGTGGGCGGCGAGGTGTCAGGGGCAGGAGAAAAGAGAAAAAGAAGGAGGGAGAGAGAGAAAAAAAAAAAGGGGAAAAAGACGTGGTCGTAGATAGAGGGTCGTCAGTAGACCTGTTATAGAATAACAGAGTTAAACAAGGTGAGAACTATGTACAGTGTCAGACTCAGCTGTCTAGGTCGGTGAGTCAGTAAGGGGTGGACTGTCCCACGTAAATATGTCCCCCCTTGTCGCTCCCCCCTAGTGTGTTATACAGTGTGTCTGTGGGTACGTGAGCGTCCGCAGGCGCAGGACTGTGAAGGTGGGTCTAAGAGTCGTCACTGTCAGCTCCCCCTTAGCCCGTGCTGTCCCGCAGTAGTCCTCCTCTTTCCGGAGGCTATACCTCGGTGCCTGGTCATGCCCCTGTCCCATCCCCCAGGTGGACCCCCCCCCCAGGGTGGCAGTGCAAGTGATCTCCGCGTATCGCGGCTGCCGTTTCCAGCGTACCCTGGCCGCCCAGCTACTCAAGCAGACCCTATGCCCCTCTCGCCTCTGGCAGGTTTTACTCGTTGGGCATCCCGCCCACCCCCCCCCCATCCCTGTGACCCCAGGCCACCGCTCCGGTGCGGGCTAAAGGCCCTTCTCCCCCTGTCTCTTTGCTTTCCTTCCCCGTCTCGCCCCTGGCTCGGGGTGTGTGCTCTATGGGCCGGTGTTGAGTGGGCTCGGTAGTGCAGGGGCCATTCCTCCTCACCTCCCCGTGGAGGACATTTACTCGTCTCCCTCACGTCTCGCATGGGTGCAGTGGGGAGCTGCGGGGCTTCCCGCCTCCCCTCCAACCCAGCATGGGG